GTTCATATATGAATCACAAAGGTTCACACGTGAATCAGTTAATTAGTTCATATGTGAATCAGTTAAATAGTTCATATATGAATCACAAAGGTTCATACGTGAATCAGTTAATTAGTTCATATGTGAATCATACGGCTTCATATGTGAATTAGTTAAAATAAGTCATATGTGAATTACATGGGTCCACATATGAACATATAGTTCATATGGGGATCACACTGGTTCACATATGAATCCGTTTGCCACCTATTTGTAAAAGTTACGAAAGTACCCCCTTTATTTTTCTGCACAACCCTAAATTTTGACCAGTCAAATCCGATCTTAACTGTATGAAAGGCTAGGATCACTTCTTTACTTTTCAAATACTTACCACTTCTCAAAATAACCTATGACTATATGTGTGTGTATATATATATTGACTTTTATGAGTAGCAAAATGTATTAATATTTAAAGATAGATGCCTGTAATAGATCTCCAGCATTCACCACAAGAGCCCTAGGGATAGGAGGAACATGAGTCCATTGGTTTTGATAAAAGACTTGGAGGCCACCAATTTGATCTTGTAGAAGTATTGTGATGAAATCGTTGTCGGTGTGGTTAGGGGTGCCTATTGTCAAGTCTGGTTGTGGACAAGAAGGATAGTAATGGCTAAGTATAGCAAGCCCTTCGGTACAACCCATGTCTGAAAGGTGATTGGGATTGAGCCCAAGAGCTTCAGATATTAGCTCAAAAACACAATCTCCTAATTTCATCACTTGACTCGAATACTCTACCAAAATATCTCTACAAGAAAATCCCAATTATATGTAAGTGAGATAATATGAATTCAAATTTGAGTTATAATACTAGTACTTATCACATTACTTATTAGTGGTATAATTATTATATTGCAAGTAAAACCTTTGCCCCAAGTTATTGTTAATAATTGGACAACAATGACAACACATATTTCTTTCAATACATTTTTAAATATATGACTACAGTACACTCTAATATATATGGGTTTTTGGTAATAGACCTACTTTTCGTAACACTAAATATGGCAACGATAAAAATATTAATAAAAAAGGATAGTAAAGTATCATGCATTAATATCATAGAAAAAAAATAGTCAAGTTTGAATTTGAACATAACAATTATAAAAACCCATCATTAATGTTGTAACCATTGAATTTACTAGAGCGTAAATTATATATACAAAATATTTAATGTATTTATTATATTCTTTTTATTACATTATTGTCACCTTAATAAAATAAGAGCCTTTGTAAAATTCTACAATGGAAGTTCTTATAAAAAACCTTATTTTTCTTATTTTTAATTTTTAAAATGTAATTTTATTTATAGATTATTATATCTATACTATATTATAATGCATTTGGCTAAAACTCTTAAAAACTCTTAAACTCTTAAACCCGCTCATCCCTATCCGATTTCATCCCTATCCGATTTCATCCCATAACTGAATTCGTGTAACCAACTACAGATAAACACAATCCAATACAGGATAAACATCTCATTTTAAAT